CCCCACAGCCACTTCCTCCTGTACCACTATTCCCCTCCCTCCTAGATTGTAAGCTCCCAGGAGCAGGGCCCTCGAACCCCTCGTGTATTGTATTGTTACTGTATTGTCTCATGTTCTGTCCCCCTTGCTACTGTACAGCGCTGAGCATACCCTTTGGCGCTATATAAATACTGTATAATAATAATAATTATGTGTGATGGTACTCATTAGGTGGTGGAAAGACTACATAATTTCACAATATTAAGTGGTCATCTAACGTTATAGGCCCTATACTTGATGTTGAAACTGTAATCACCCTCATTTCTAATTCCATTTCAATTAATTCTACGCACAGCAGCATGTTGTGAAATGCTGTCATGCACTGTAAGACACTGTTGCGCATTGCACTGTGTAGAATCGCAGACATGGTGCATTTTAATACAACACACCAAATCAACTGTACGGTGAACAGGGCAGATAAAAAATAATTATCCATTGCAGCTCATTATGCAACAGAAAAAAATATTCCACTAGGGATGTGCTTAAGAACTGAATGTTTGTGCCTCTACTTTAAATCTAATCCCAACAATATAAATCAACAAACTGGGGGAAATGCAATCAAGCCGCAGCGCCACTTTTCTGGACTAAATTCCTGTTGTTACTTTATTGCGCAAAATTCATGAAGCATTTGCAACACTTTTGATTCTCAGAGCAACTTATGCACCAAAATCAGGTAGTTCTAAAATTCGACACTTTTACATTGTGTCCCATTGAATGCGAAGTTTCTATGTTGTGCCGCATTGAAATGCGCAAAATTCAAAACTGCAGCTAATAAAGACCAATTCTCTTTTGGTGTACAGTAAGAAAAACTGGATCAGACAGATTCTGCGAAAGTGTCTTGAGAGCATTCTTGAAGTGGCGCAGCATGAGCCAAATTCACGTACAAGTTCTAGACAGGTCCATGAATTTGGCGCATTCTTCAACTCTTTGAATGAATGGCAGACACTTTCAAAATCTGTCTGCGCCAGTCTTTATGCATTCCAGGGACTGTCTATTCACAAAAGGAGGTACCACCTAATCTACTGACTGTAAACCTTTTATTAGCTCTTTAGGTACAGCAAATAAGCTGACAGTATATACATACTAAGAATATATATTTGTATTAATGTGCTCATACCTTGTTAAGTCCAAGATTTTTACTCCTTCCAGTGGCTTTACATTGTCAGAATCTGTAACTATAAAGAAACACATAACTATATTTCTCATACAATACAAAAAAACAAAAATTGAAAAAACCATTTTGGACTTTCTATATAAAAATCATGCTAGAACCAAGAACATTGCGGCACATTTCCAGGAATTAGGGAAGGCATTAAAAAATGTATTTCCAATTGTTGTTTAAATCAACAGAGATGCAACTGAATCGGTGAAAATGGTCTTTTTATTTCTTAGTTTCCCAGCTGTCCTAGGTCTACAGTTGCAAGAAAAAGTATGTGAACCCCTTGTGATTACGTGGAGTTTTGCATGATTTGGGCATAAAATGTGCTCTGAACGTCATCTAAGTCACAACAATAGAAGAACACAGTCTGCTGAACATAATACTACACAAACATTAGATGTTGCCATGGTTTAATTGCACATAACATGTAAACATTCACAGTGCAGGGAGGAAAAAGTATGTGAACCTTTGGACTTAATAACTGGTTGCCCCTCCTTTGGCAGCAATAACCTCAACCAAACGTTTCCTGTAGTTGCAGATCAGACCTGCACAACGATCTGGAGTCATTTTGGACCACTCCTCTTCACAAAACTGTTTCAGTGTAGCAATATTCTTGGGATGTCTGGTGTGAATCGCTCTCTTAAGGTCATGCCACAGCATTTCAATGGGGTTGAGGTCAGGACTCTGACTGGGCCACTCCAGAAGGCGTATTCTGTGCTGTTGCAGCCATTGTTTTGTTGAATGACTTGTATGCTTTGGGTCATTGTCCTGTTGCATCACCCATCCTCTGCGGAGCTTCAGTTGGCGGACAGATGGTCGTACGTTTTCCTGCAAAATGTCTTGATAAACTCTGGAATTCATTTTCCCATAAATGACAACAATCCGTCCAGGCCCTGAGGCAGCAAAGCAGCACCAAACCATGATGCTCCCTCCGCCATGTTTCACAGTGGGGATGAGGTTTTGATGTTGGTGTGCTGTGCCTTCTCCACACATAGTGTTGTGTGTTCTTCCCAAACAATTCAATCTTGGTTTCATCTGTCCACAGTATATTTTGCCAGTAGTGCTGTGGAACATCCAGGTGCTCTTTTGCAAACTTCAAACGTGCTGCAATCTTCTTTTTGGACAGCAATGGCTTCCTCCGTGGTGTCCTCCCATGTACTCCATTCTTGTTTAATGTTTTCCTTATTGTAGATGTGTCAACAAAAATGTTAGCATGTGCCAGAGATTTCTGTAGGTCTTTAGCTGACACTCTGGGATTCTTCTTTACCTCATGCAGCATTCTGCGCTGTGCTCTTGCAGTCATTTTTACAGGACGACCACGCCTAGGGAGAGTAGCAACAGTGCTAAACTTTCTCCATTTGTAGACAGTCTGTCTTACCGTGGACACATGAACATCAAGGCTTTTGGAGATACTTTTGTAACCCTTTCCAGCTTCATGCAAGTCAACAATTCTTGATGGTAGGTCTTCTGAGAGCTCTTTTCTGCAAGGCATGGTTCACATCAGACAGTGCTTCTTGAAACCAGTAAACCCAAAACAGGTGTCAGCAACACATCCAATATCATCCCACTGACTGGAGTCAAGGTTGGCTCACTCCTGGCTCTGGGAGAAGTCATTAAGCTAGGGCCTCACATACTTTTTGTATGAGGCTTCGTATCTATAAAGTATCTATAAAGAGATACTTGTACAAATATGGTCTTCATGGAAGAGTCATCAGAAGAAAACCTCTTCTACGTCCTCACCACAAAAATCATCGTTTGAACTTTGCAAATGAACATATAGACAAACCTGATGCATTTTGGAAACAAGTTCTGTGGACCGATGAGGTTAAAATTGAACTTTTTGGCCGGAATGAGCAAAGGTACGTTTGGAGAAGAAGGGGCACAGAATTTAATGAAAAGAACCTCTGTCCAACTGTTAAGCATGGGGTTGGATCAATCATGCTTTGGTGTTGTGTTGCAGCCAGTGGCACAGGGAACATCTCACGAGTAGAAGGAAAAATGGATTCAATAAAATTTCAGCAAATTTTGGATGGTAACTTGATGCCATCTGTGAAAAAGCTGAAGTTAAAGAGAGGATGGCTTCTACAAATGGATAATGATCCTAAACACACCTCGAAATCCACGGGGGATTACATCAAGAGGCGTAAACTGAAGGTTTTGCCATGGCCTTCACAATCTCCTGACCTCAACATAATTGAAAATCTATGGATAGACCTTAAAAGAGCCGTGCGTGACAGACAGCCCAGAAATCTCAAAGAACTGGAAGACTTTTGTAAGGAAGAATGGGCAAAGATACCTCAAACAAGAATTGAAAGACTCTTGGCTGGCTACAAAAAGTGTTTACAAGCCGTGATACTTGCCAAAGGGGGCAATACAAGATATTAACTCTGCAGGGTGCCCAAACTTTTGCAGACGCCATTTTTTTGTTTTCTGTATTTTGAAAGTGTAAATGATGGAAATAAAATCTAACTTTTGTTGACATATTATAAGAATGTCTAATCTGTAATTTGATGCCTTTTGGAGATTTTTCCATCTTTCCTTGGCTTCTTTATGCACATTAATACAAATTTTTAGCTGGGGTGCCCAAACGTTCCATCCCCACTGTATATATGGACCTAAGTGTATGCTTGTGAGATGTTCGAAGGAAGAAATAGTTACCTAGGAGGTTAGTTTATGCTGCAAGCTAGTCTTTATAGAAAAAACTGTGTGGAGCAGGGGCAGACTGACAACTCATGGGGCCCCCGGGCAATAAGGGATCATGGGGCCCCTGTGTCCTTGCCCAAACTCAAAAAAGACTATGAAAAAGGTACCAGGGGCATCTCATGGGGCCCCCTACTGACCCCAGGCCCTTGGGCAGTGCCCGAGTTTCCAAATGGTCAGTCCGCCCCTGGTGTGGAGTGTCAAGTTCTAAAGAGATGTGAAAACTTTACACATAAAATGGTGTGATGGTGGGAGTTGTATTCCGAACAAGGTGTGAACCACAGTTGAAATCCATCAAGTTGATGTTCAGTGTCCGTATTGGGACCAAACGTGCCGTTAGACCAAACATAATACTATGTAAGGTCACACTGCTGGTGGTGGAATCCTGCACTTTTATGTTTTGAGGCACTTGGTGATTGCAGAAGGATGGAAGCACTATAAAGTAGATTTTCAGACTTTTTATTTAATATTTGTCATCAATATTTTGATTTATGCGGTGCTTTTCACTTAATATTTGATTTATGTTGTGCTTTTCACTTAATATTTGACTTATGTTGTGCTTTTCACTTAACCTCCCTGGCGGTCTGATTATTTCAGATTTTTGGTGCTGAAAGCGGTACCATTTTTTTGCATGGAAATATGTATTTTTTTTATTGTAGGCTGTAATATTTAGGAATAACTCACTGAAATCTGTCCGAACAAGAGTCTAGTAAACATCCCGGGGAGGATACAACTTGAAACACGAAATCATAAATTATAATTTAATAAATAATCATAAAAATAATAATATAATAATAATAAATTTAATTTAATAATATAATCAAACCAAAAACACTGAAATGTGAAATAGAGCGCCAAGTTCGCACATCGCTGAGCAAAGTCGCAAAATCGTTTTCAGTGTCTGATGAGGAATTTCCCCCACAAATCATTATCACTCAATTCTGCAAGTGGTTCTGATTTGCTATCGCTGTTCTCTAGCCGGTCTAAAACCGCTTTTGACCTAAAGGGACGCTTTTTGGACGCCATGGACGTTTCTCAGTTTCCAGGCAATAAGAACAGTCAAAATGCAGGCAGGGGATCCGGACAAAGCACTCGGGACAAAATGTATGTGAAATGGGTTGATACAGCAATGTTTTACTATGTGATTTTAGTGAATGTCACTTTTTGTCATTTTTGAATTTCCCGCCGTTCCGTCCCCCGTACGTCCCGACGCTCACAGGGGACGGAACCCAGATGACAGATGCCGGCATCCGCCGGATTACATTGCTGGGGACACTGCAGGGAGGACATCGCGGGAGCGCAGGACAAGGTAAGTGATCGAGGGATCGTGGAGCAGCGCCGCATGGTATTCCCGAGTGTAGCTGGGGGGGTTACCGCTTGTGGTACTGAAACTTTACCCCGAGCTACACTCGGGAATACCGCCAGGGAGGTTAATATTTTGACTTATGTTGTGCTTTTCACTTAATATTTGATTTATGTTGTGCTTTTCACTTAATATTTTGATTTAAGTTGTGCTTTTCACTTAATATTTTGATTTATGCGGTGCTTTTCACTTAATATTTGATTTATGTTGTGCTTTTCACTTAATATTTGATTTATGTTGTGCTTTTCACTTAATATTTGATTTATGTTGTGCTTTTCACTTAATATTTTGATTTATGTTGTGCTTTTCACTTAATATTTGATTTATGTTGTGCTTTTCACTTAATATTTTGATTTATGTGTTGTGCTTTTCACTTAATATTTTGATTTATGTTGTGCTTTTCACTTAATATTTGATTTATGTGGTGCTTTTCACTTAATATTTTGATTTATGTTGTGCTTTTCACTTAATATTTTGATTTATGTTGTGCTTTTCACTTAATATTTTGATTTATGTTGTGCTTTTCACTTAATATTTGATTTATGTTGTGCTTTTCACTTAATATTTGATTTATGTTGTGCTTTTCACTTAATATTTTGATTTACGTTGTGCTTTTCACTTAATATTTTGATTTATGTTGTGCTTTTCACTTAATATTTGATTTATGTGGTGCTTTTCACTTAATATTTTGATTTATGTTGTGCTTTTCACTTAATATTTTGATTTATGTTGTGCTTTTCACTTAATATTTTGATTTATGTTGTGCTTTTCACTTAATATTTGATTTATGTGGTGCTTTTCACTTAATATTTGATTTATGTGGTGCTTTTCACTTAATATTTTGATTTATGTTGTGCTTTTTACTTAATTTTTGTAGCACTGCACTGGTCACTGTATATAATGAAATGTTCATTGCTTCCAGTTTCTTAGACCATAGAGATGATTGGAGCCATTCCGGTCTCCGATCAGCTCTATGGTCAACGGCCAGCTGCATTCTTGGTTTCCCTGGTGGGACTGGACAGCCCGTAAAAGCCGCAGAAGGTGGCAGCAGGGGGGCGGGGGGGGGGGGGGGTGGATAGGGAGGGGAGTGAATGTCCCTTCCTGCTGCTTGCAAAAGTGATCCAGCAGCTGTAGCTGCTTTCATGCTGCTATAACCACTCAAAGTCCATCGAGTACCAGTACGTTGCTGATGCTTGTTGGGCATGTATGTAACAGCAGAGAACATGGGCATATGATGAATGGGAGTCTGTGGACAAATATGACAGCAATTCATTGTTTTCTGTAATGCCCATGCTGAGGGTTGGGTCCAAAAAAGTTTTAAACCGTGACAGGTTTCCATGTGAATTGTCAGGCAAGGGCTGCATTTGGGTAGGCAGTGATGTACTGCTATGTGTATAAATTGCTTCGGCCCACAACCAATCGATGCAAATGTTGCGTGAACAACGGCGGAGCGGCTAAACGCTAGTGCTGGCAGCGAATGGGGCTTATCCTGTGTTTTTTGGGGACACTATACTAAGCAGGCTCTAGTATAGTTCTGTTCGTGATCAAAATATTGATCCGTACAAACACTATACTAGTAATGGCGGTGATCAGCGACTTATAGCCTGCGGTCGATCGTGTGTGAGCAATCTAACCCTGCCTGGGAGGGGCGCTGACCCCGACGCTATCTGATGGCGTTAGTGGCAGCAATACAGTGGATCACTGATCCAGAGGAGAATATCCAATAGGTCAGCTGTACAGAAGTCAGTTGGTGGAGTGATTTCTATACAACCTGCTGGCCTATAGACCTGCTGAACTGGCAGGATTCTTATACGGCCACCTTTGCTGGATGCAGATGTGACCTATTCAAGTGAATGGGGATGCACTGCAACCGCCCCACAACATGTACAATGAACGTGATTGCACTTCAGTAGTACAGCAATTTGCAAATTAAATCAGGCGATGAAGAGGTGACATATCACCTCCTAACTGCCCGACAAATGCCTCTGAAAAGCGATCCGAGTGTGGATCACTTTTCAGAGGAGCGGCAGACTGTGCCAAACTTGTGAAGAAGCCCTAAGACTCTGTTCACACTTGTGCGACTTGTGGACACAAAGTCACATGACGGGTTGCAGCTCATTATTTTCAACGACACCCATTCTGATCTATGCAACGTAAAGTCGCGACAACTTTGAAAAGGTTCCTGCAGTACTTTGATGCAACTTGAGTGGCAGCGAGTGTGTGAAGTTGCATCAAAGTTACATTAAGCCCGGGTTCACACTGATGCGGTGTGGAATTTGCAGCATTTTCTGTGCAAATTCTGCACTACATCACAATTGCACCCCCATTCATGCAAACTGCTCTGGGCGAGCATGTCCAGTTAACAACACCCTGAAATTGGTGCGCAAAATGAGGTGCAATGTGCAGAAATCGGATCACAGAGGTGTGAATCCCCATGCGAATCTGAATCCAGTGCAGAGCAAAAAAGGGTCCTGCGCCTTTTTGTGCGGATGAGGTGCGATCTGAGCTATACAAAATGTACGGCTCCAATCGCACCACACACAATTCACGTGATTTGCACATGAATGCGGTGCGGTTCCTGTGCGACACACATGCGATCTGCCGCACAAGTGTGAACCAGCCTAATACCTGCACTGGAGACTTCTGAAGCCGCACAAATGTGAACAGAGCTGAAAATAATTTTTTTTTGCCGCAAACTCTAAGGCTCGGCTCACATATAGGCACTTTGTATTGCAGGCAGATACGCCGCAACTCTGCGCAAGATCCCATGTGTTCAGGGGTCATTTATGAGGCAGGAAGGGGGTAGAAGTGCCCGGTGGGCAGGAAGGGGGTAGAAGTGCCCGGTGGGCAGGAAGGGGGTAGAAGTGCCCGGTGGGCAGGAAGGGGGTAGAAGTGCCCGGGAGGCAGGAAGGGGGTAGAAGTGTCCTGTAGGCGGGAAGGGGGGTAGAAGTGCCCTGTAGGCAGGGAGGGGGTAGAAGTGTCCTGTAGGCAGGAAGGGGGTAGAAGTGTCCTGTAGGCAGGAAGGGGGTAGAAGTGTCCTGTAGGCGGGAAGGGGGTAGAAGTGCCCTGTAGGCAGGAAGGGGGTAGAAGTGTCCTGTAGGCGGGAAGGGGGTAGAAGTGTCCTGTAGGCAGGAAGGGGGTAGAAGTGTCCTGTAGGCAGGAAGGGGGTAGAAGTGCCCTGTAGGCAGGAAGGGGGTAGAAGTGCCCTGTAGGCAGGAAGGGGGTAGAAGTGTCCTGTAGGCAGGAGAGGGGTAGAAGTGCCCGGTAGGCAGGAAGGGGGTAGAAGTGCCCGGTAGGCAGGAAGGGGGTAGAAGTGCCCGGTAGGCAGGAAGGGGGTAGAAGTGTCCTGTAGGCAGGAAGGGGGTAGAAGTGTCCTGTAGGCAGGAAGGGGGTAGAAGTGTCCTGTAGGCAGGAAGGGGGTAGAAGTGTCCTGTAGGCAGGAAGGGGGTAGAAGTGTCCTGTAGGCAGGGAGGGGGGTAGAAGTGTCCTGTAGGCAGGGAGGGGGTAGAAGTGCCCTGTAAGCAGGAAGGGGGTAGAAGTGTCCTGTAGGCAGGGAGGGGGTAGAAGTGTCCTGTAGGCAGGGAGGGGGTAGAAGTGCCCTGTAAGCGGGAAGGGGGTAGAAGTGCCCTGTAGGCAGGAAGGGGGTAGAAGTGCCCGGTAGGCGGGAAGGGGGTAGAAGTGCCCGGTGGTGGCAGGAAGGGGGTAGAAGTGCCCGGTGGGCAGGAAGGGGGTAGAAGTGCCCGGTGGGCAGGAAGGGGGTAGAAGTGCCCGGTGGGCAGGAAGGGGGTAGAAGTGCCCTGTAGGCGGGAAGGGGGTAAGAAGTGCCCGGGAGGCAGGAAGGGGGTAGAAGTGTCCCTGTAGGCGGGAAGGGGGTAGAAGTGCCCTGTAGGCAGGGAGGGGGTAGAAGTGTCCTGTAGGCGGGAAGGGGGTAGAAGTGTCCTGTAGGCAGGAAGGGGGTAGAAGTGTCCTGTAGGCGGGAAGGGGGTAGAAGTGCCCTGTAGGCAGGAAGGGGGTAGAAGTGTCCTGTAGGCGGGAAGGGGGTAGAAGTGTCCTGTAGGCAGGAAGGGGGTAGAAGTGTCCTGTAGGCGGGAAGGGGGTAGAAGTGCCCTGTAGGCAGGAAGGGGGTAGAAGTGCCCTGTAGGCGGGGAAGGGGGTAGAAGTGTCCTGTAGGCGGGAAGAGGGTAGAAGTGCCCGGTAGGCAGGAAGGGGGGGTAGAAGTGCCCGGTAGGCAGGAAGGGGGGGTAAGGGGGTAGAAGTGCCCGGTAGGCAGGAAGGGGGTAGAAGTGTCCTGTAGGCAGGAAGGGGGTAGAAGTGTCCTGTAGGCAGGAAGGGGGTAGAAGTGCCCTGTAGGCAGGGAGGGGGTAGAAGTGCCTGTAGGCAGGAAGGGGGTAGAAGTGTCCTGTAGGCAGGAAGGGGGTAGAAGTGTCCTGTAGGCAGGAAGGGGGTAGAAGTGTCCTGTAGGCAGGGAGGGGGTAGAAGTGTCCTGTAGGCAGGGAGGGGGTAGAATAGAAGTGCCCTGTAAGCAGGAAGGGGGTAGAAGTGTCCTGTAGGCAGGGAGGGGGTAGAAGTGTCCTGTAGGCAGGGAGGGGGTAGAAGTGCCCTGTAAGCGGGAAGGGGGTAGAAGTGCCCTGTAGGCAGGAAGGGGGTAGAAGTGCCCGGTAGGCGGGAAGGGGGTAGAAGTGCCCGGTAGGCAGGAAGGGGGTAGAAGTGCCCGGTAGGCAGGAAGGGGGTAGAAGTGCCCTGTAGGCAGGAAGGGGTAGAAGTGCCCTGTAGGCAGGAAGGGGGGTAGAAGTGTCCTGTAGGCAGGAAGGGGGTAGAAGTGTCCTGTAGGCAGGGAGGGGGTAGAAGTGTCCTGTAGGCAGGGAGGGGGTGGAAGTGCCCTGTAGCAGGAAGGGGGTAGAAGTGTCCTGTAGGCAGGGAAGGGGGTAGAGAAGTGTCCTGTAGGCAGGGAGGGGGTAGAAGTGCCCTGTAGGCAGGGAGGGGTAGAAGTGCCCTGTTAGCGGGGGGGTAGAAGTGCCCTGTAGGCAGGAAGGGGGTAGAAGTGCCCGGTAGGCAGGAAGGGGGTGCCCAGAAGTGCCCTGTAGGGGCAGGAAGGGGGTAGAAGTGCCCTGTAGGCAGGAAGGGGGTAGAAGTGCCCTGTAGGCAGGAAGATGGTAGAAGTGCCCGGTAGGCGCAGGAAGGGGGTAGAAGTGCCCAGGGGGGGCAGAAAGGGGGTAGAAGTGCCCAGGGGGGGCAGGAAGGGGGTAGAAGTGCCCAGGGGGGGCAGGGAGGGGGTATAAGTGCCCGGGGGGCAGGAAGGAGGTATATGTGCCTGGGGGGGGCAGGAACGGGGTATAAGTGCCAGGGGGGGCAGGAACGGGGTAGAAGTGCCCGGGGGGGGGCAGGGAGGGGGTAGAAGTGTCCTGTAGGCAGGAAGGGGGTATAAGTGCCCGGGGGGGAAGGAACGGGGTATAAGTGCCCGGGGGGGGCAGGGAGGGGGTAGAAGTGTCCGGTAGGCAGGAAGGGGGTAGAAGTGCCCTGGGGGGGGGCAGGGAGGGGGTATTAAGGGCCGGGGGGGACAGGAACGGGGTATAAGTGCCGGGGGGACAGGAACGGGGTAGAAGTTAACAGGGGGGGGGCAGGTGAGGGGGTAACAGGTGCAGAAGTCACTGGAAGCATGGCAGACACACAGGCATTTTGGAGAGGTGTGAATGGAATGCAGTCGCTGTTTGTATGTCTTCCAGGTTACATGACAGGATAAGTTCATAGACTTCCCAGAGCTGAGTGTTGGGGGGGGGGGGGGTTCATTCAGCTCCTTACATAATGCCTCCATACAGAAGGACCCCCTCCCCCCCAGGGGCTATACGGGGCCCTCATCTCCACAAGCAGTGTACCTCTCCGGGAGAGCCCCCTCCGCTGGGTGAAGGGGGGGGCCCCGCTTCTCGCCCCCTCACAACTCCTCCTCAAGGCCTCCAGCACACGAGCGGCGACCCGCATGACTTATTACTACCGGGAGCCGCGCAGAGCTCAGCACAGGACACAGCGACTTCCCGGGGCACACCGGGCCGAGTCCCGAGCCGAGGGGGCGGGGAACAGTCTGGTCCTGATTGCCATGTGAGGGTGCGAAGTCCTCCGGCGTTCCGTTCTCTATGAAGGAATACATTGTGTGGCAGAAAGTATTGGGACGCTTGTTGCCTTTACCCCGGTGCACGTCTGTGTAGGCCGCGATTTGCAGGGGCAGCAGAGCCCATTCATGTCAGTGGAAGGAGGGTCCTTGTCTGTCAATGATATAAATCCGGTGAATTATCAGACAAGTACCCCAGACTACCTCCGGGTTCACCTCTGTGGGGTGGTGCCATTGTGTGACCCCCATAAATCCCTGCAGCCGCACCACCCACACAGAGGAGTGCAGGACCCGCAGCTGGATGCCACTAATTGTAATGACACGTCGCCCGCAACAGTACTGGGAACCTCGGTTCCCATGCGGACTGTGATTACCCAAGTAGTGCAGGAACCTCTTCCCGGTACTTGTCTGTTAACCCCCCTGGCGGTATTCCCGAGTGTAGCTCGGGGTAAAGTTTCAGTATCACAAGCGGTAACCCCCCCGAGCTACACTCGGGCTTACCATGCAGCGTTGCTCAGGGATTCCCTGCAGAGCTTACCTTGTCCTTCGCTCCCGCGATGTGTCCCCTGCAGCGTCTCTGGCCATCTCCTCCGGCCGATGCCGGCATCCGGCTTCCGTGTTCCGGTCCCTGTGACGTCGGACGTACGGGCGCCGGAACTTTTAAAAAATGAAATTTTTTTGAAAATGATTATCACATAGTATAACATTCCTGTATCAACCCATTTCACATACATTTTGTCCCGAGTGCTTTGTCCATCGCCCTGCCTGCATTTTGACTGTTCTTTCTGCCTGGAAACTGAGAAACGTCCATGGCGTCCAAAAAGCGTCCCGTTACGTCAAAAGCGGTTTTAGACCGGCTAGAGAACAGCGATAGTAAATCAGAACCACTTGCAGAATTGAGTGATAATGATTGGTGGGGGAAATTCCTCATCAGACACTGAAAACGATTCTGCGACTTTGCTCAGCGATGTGCGAACTTGGCGCTATATTTCACATTTCAGTGTTTTTGGTTTGATTATATTATTGAATTAAATTTATTATTATATTATTATTTTTTTATGATTATTTATTAAATTATAATTTATGATTTCGTGTTTCAAATTTTATCCTCCCCGGGATGTTTACTAGACTCTTGTTCGGACAGATTTCAGTGAGTTATTCCTAAATATTACAGCCTACAATAAAAAACTACATATTTCCATGCAAAATAATGTACCGCTTTCAGCACAAAAAACCTGAAATAATCAGACCGCCAGGGAGGGTAATTCACCGGATTTTTATAAAATATATATATTTTAATTTTTATTTTTATTTTAATTTTTAATCCAGTGAATTAACAGACAAGTACCGGGAAGAAGTTCCTGCACTACTTGGGTAATCACAGTCCGCATGGGAACCGAGGTTCCCAGTACGGTTGCGGGCGGCGTGTCATTACAATTAGTGGCATCCAGCTGCGGGTCCTGCACTCCTCTGTGTGGGTGGTGCGGCTGCAGGGATTTGTGGGGGTCACACAATGGCACCACCCCACAGATGTGAACCTGGAGTTAGTCTAGGTTCACACCTATGCGTTTTGCAGAAACGCACAACAGTCCATTTAACATGATTTCCTATGGGACAGGTTCACATCTACGCGTTTTCACCCGGTGCATTTTTTGGAAAGGGACTGTTTTTAAATGCAAAACATTGCTTTTTTGGTTCTATAGACTTCAATGGAGAAGCTGCAGAAAAGCATGTAGTGTGTTTTAGTGCGTTTTTTTACGTGTTTTTGATGCATTTTCGTTTTGCGTTTTAATCTGCCCAGCAACAAGTTTAAAAAAAAAAAGCAAAACGAGTCAAAAATACATGTGCAAAAACGCACTGCAGAAATGGATCAAACGCAAACTGCATAGGTGTGAACCTAGCCTTACATACACATGAACAGTAACGGCATCCCGGTCTTAAGCAGGCCATAGCCGGGTCAAACATCGGCAAATTTTTCAAGAAAAAAAAAAGTGAAAAATCGATCGGCCGATGTTACCACCAACGTTAAAAAAAATTGGCCGATTTTTAACCCGTCTATGGCTGGCATTAACCCCATAACTTCTGTCCCTGCAGAGACGGGAGCGCACCATGCAATGTGACAGCAATACAAATACATTATTTGGATTACAATGTTTTTATTTGGATACAAATGGATACATTGTTGCAAGCTCAAGACTTTTTCATATAAAATATAATAGCGGACTTCTCCTTCTTCTCAGGTCTGGCTCATGCGCAGATTTTTTATCGGTAAAACGATCGACTGATTTGCCCATCATTGCCGGGAAAATCGTCTGATCTTCAAAATCGGCGGCAAATTTTCCAACATGACCGATAAAAAAAATGTGCAAAAACCCTGAAAAACGGCAGACCAATTAACCCACTAACGATGCAAAAATCGTCTGATTTTTGACCCGTCTATGGCCGGCATAAGTCCGTAGGGTTCAATATTGAGTTGGCCCCGCCCTTTCCACACACATGACCTTTAATGGCCCCCCAGTCTTAGTCCGTAGGGTTCAATATTGAGTTGGCCCCGCCCTTTGCACCTATAACAGCTTCAACTCTTCTGGGAAGGCCGCCCACAAGGTTTAGGAGGGTGTCTATGGGAAGGTTGGACCATTCTTCCAGAAGCACATTTGTCAGGTCAGGCACGGATGTCGGGGGAGGAGGCCTGGCTCGCAGTCTCCGCTCTAATTCATCCCAAAGGTGTTCTATGGGGTTGAGGTCAGGACTCTGTGCAGGACAGTCAAGTTCCTCCACCCCAAACTGGCTCCTCCATGTCTTTATGGACCTTGCTTTGTGCACTGGGGCGCAGTCATGTTGGACAGGAAGGGGCCATCCCCAAACTCTTCCCACAAAGATGGGAGCATGAAATTGTCCAGAATGTCTTGGTATGCTGACGCCCTAGGAGTTCCCCTCACTGGAACTAGGGGGCCAAGCCCAACGCCTAAAAAACAACCCCACACCATAATCCCCCCTCCACTAAACTTTACACTTGGCACAATGCAGTCAGGCAAGTACATTTCTCCTGGTCACCACCAACCCCAGACATGTCCATCGGATTGCCATACAGAGAAGCGTGATTGGTCACTCCAGAGAACACGTCTCCTCTGCTCTAGAGTCCAGTGGCGGCGTGCTTTACACCATCCAGCGCTTTGCATTGCACTTGGTGATGGAAGGCTTGGATGCAGCTGCTCGGCCATGGAAACCCATTCCATGAAGCTCTCTACGCACTGTTGTTGGGCTCATCTGAAGGCGACACCAAGTTTGGAGGTCTTTAGCTATTCACTCTGCAGACAGTTGGCGACTTCTGCGCACTGTGCGCTTCAGCATGCGCTGACCCCGCCCTGTCATGTGACGTGGCCTACCACTTGGTGGCTGAGTGGCTGTTGTTCCCAGTTGCTTCCACTTTGTTATAATACCACTAAGGCTACGTTCACACTAGCTTTATCAGACAGGCGTTTGGGAAGTGTTTTTTAAAATTCTATGAAAATTCTGCACATGGCAGCACACAGTACTGTTCACACTGAAGCGTCGCGTTGCGTCAAAACTGACGGCTCATGTCAAGTCAGGAGGAGTTGAAGCCTTCCATTCAAGTCTATGGTGCCGCTCCTCAAATGCCTGGCAGGCGTTTGCGAAGCGGTTGCAAAGCGGTTACGAGGCATTTGCGGAGCGTTAATACCATTTAACTTCATTATAGGCTTTGTGGTGCAGTTTTAACGCTTGGCAAACACCTATCAAATGCCTCAAAACCACGCATAGGGCGTTTGGGGAGCATTTGAGGAGCATTAAAAACGCTTCCCAAACGCCTGTCTAATGCCTGTCAAACACTATAGGGGCGTTTGGCAAGAGTTAGAAATAAAGTCAAGTGTGAATGAGCCATAACATTTGAGTGTGGAATATTTAGTAGCCAGGAAATGTCACGGATGGACTTATTGCCCAGGTGGCCACCTATCACGGGACCACGCTTGGAGTCACTGAGCTCCTGAGAGCGACCCATTCACCAATGTTTGTAGAAGCCGTCTGCATGTCTAGGGGCTTGATTGTATACACCTGTGTCCATGGAGGGGATTGGAACACCTGAATCCAATGATTTGGAGGGGATTGGAACACCTGAATCACATGTTTGTTTGTGTTTCTGATATGGAGGTGATTGGAATACCTGAATCACATGATATGGAGGTGATTGGAACATCTGAATCCAATGATTTGGAGGGCATTGGAACACCTGAATCACATGATATGGAGGTGATTGGAATACCTGAATCACATGATATGGAGGTGATTAGAATACCTGAATCACATGATATGGAGGTGATTGGAATACCTGAATCACTTGATATGGAGGGGATTGGAATACCTGAATCACATGATATGGAGGTGATTGGAATACCTGAATCACATGATATGGAGGTGATTGGAATACCTGAATCACATGATATGGAGGTTTGGAATACCTGAATCCAGTGATTTGGAGGTGATTGGAATACCTGAATCCAATGATTTGGAGGTGATTGGAATACCTGAAATCACATGATTTGGAGGTGATTGGAATACATGAATCCAATGATATGGAGGTGATTGGAATACCTGAATCACATGATATGGAGGTGATTAGAATACCTGAATCCAATATTTGGAGGTGATTGGAATACCTGAATCACATGATATGGAGGTGATTGGAATACCTGAATCACATGATTTGGAGGTGATTGGAATACCTGAATCACATTATATGGAGGTGATTGGAATACCTGAAATCACATGATATGGAGGTGATTGGAATACCTGAATCACATGATTTGGAGGTGATTGGAATACCTGAATCACATGATTTGGAGGTGATTGGAATACCTGAATCCAATGATTTGGAGGTGATTGGAATACCCGAATCACATGATATGGAGGTGATTGGAATACCTGGATCACATGATATGGAGGGGATTGGAATACCTGAATCACATGATATGGAGGTGATTGGAATACCAGAATCACATGATATGGAGGTGATTGTAATACCTGGATCACATGATATGGAGGGGATTAGAATACCTGAATCACATGATATGGAGGTGATTGGAATACCTGGATCACATGATATGGAGGGGATTGGAATACCTGAATCACATGATATGGAGGTGATTGGAATACCAGAATCACATGATATGGAGGTGATTGGAATACCTGAATCAATGATTTGGAGGGATTGCCTGTCCCAATACTTTTAGCAATATAGTGTATATCAGAATTGGAGCAGCTCTGTATTGCAACCATCAAGATTCTGCTTTTTATTTTCAAAGTCAAAAATTTCTTTTTTAGTTTTGAATAGAGTGGAGAGGTTTTGACTGATGTCTGTGCCCCCCCAAAGCCCCCCCCCCCCCATTAGGCTTCTCTCACATTGATCCACTTTTCTTTTACTTTTCTGCATTTTTTGAAGTCCTGCTTTCTGCATTCTTGGTGTGGTAAAAAAAAGCACTTCCCCATTGAAATCAATAGAAACGCAGCAAAAACACACCTGCGTTGAATTTTTTGTGTGTGTTTTTTGAGTCACGTCCTTTAAAAACCGCACTGCAAATGCAGTAAAAATGTAGCACGTTTTTGCCGCGATTCACGGGGATAGTAACCTTAGGGAGATTTACCTCCTATATATGTCCTATTTACTGTTATCGCCAAAAGTAAAAGACCCAAATTTTGGGTTGCCCCGGAATGGAAACAGTGGGGATATCTTCAAATGGGGACACTAATAGACATGTGCGATTTGTTTCGTAAGTAATCGATTTTCAGAAAAAACTGTAATTATCGGAGATTTGGATGTATGCAAATTGCCATTGTGGGTCCAGTGAGGTTTTTAAACTCCTGCTTGCTGCAGTTTTGGTGCAGTTAAAAAAAAAAGCACCAAAAATGCACCTCCCTATTGAAATCAATGGAAAACGCGGCAAAAACGAACGTTTTGCATTTTTGGTAAGTTTTTTGAGTCACGTGTCCTTTAAAAACCACACAGCAAACGCAGTAAAAAATGCTTTATATACGTTTTTTGCCACGGATCAGTGTGAAAGTAGCCTTAGGGAGATTTACCTACTATATATGTCCTGTGTACCGTTCAGGGGCGGACTGACCAGTTAGCCACTCAGGTACTGCCCGAGGGCCCGGGGTCAGTAGGGGGCCCATGAAAGATGCTAAGATAGTTATTAAAGAGGTTATTAAATACATTAACGTGTCACCCAATGTATGGTCTCCATTCAGTAGCCAAAAGAGGCATACAAAAAAGGAAGGTTGTGAAAAAGAGATTCACAGAAAAGCGGCTACATAATGAACAGAACGTGACACTAAGGGAATAATTTCCAAAAATTATGCTTTATTACACACAAATGAATATGACATATGGGCATTCGCCCTGGTTTACCATCACCTCAGTATGAGACAATACACACAGACCTAAAACCATTTAAAATGACACAAAAAAACCGGTCTAAATGTATGTGTAGCAGGGAAAATGGCTACATGAGTCTAGTGTCCCTGCAACACAAACACACAGGTGAACACTTCCCTAGGGAGGTGTATCCAAAAATTATGCCATGGGCATACCATAATAGAGGATATGAGGGATTAAACAGTAACCATAATGGCAAATCCCTATCAAGAAATCCAAAAAATTATGCTGTAGATATATATATCACATGTATGCAATGGAGCAAGCACAATATGCGTCAAAAAGGAGAGTAGTAGGCCTCAGGCCTGTATGAAGGAAGACATAAATGTCAAATATATTGTACAATACATTCCTGTGCGGCACAAGTGGTTGGGGCCCATTCATCTGTAATGTAGATAGCTGTTTCCTAGAGCTTTTGGATGGGAATATGCCCCATTTATTTCCAGGATGGAAGAAAAGATGCACACAGCAGCACTCTGCTTGAAATGGTTTCTTCACCACTGCATGTGGACTATACACCACTTTCTGTAGGAAAAAACAAGACACATCCCAAAGACTCTTCTGCCTGTTGAAATATATATGGTATATCTTGTTTCCTATACAAAGCACCATGATGTCCCCATCCTGTAGTGAAACAAACAATATGTGGGAAGTCACTGACAGAGCTAACACTCTATAGAAGATATATAGGTCATATAGTTCACAGAGGACCATATATCTAATGTCCTGCAACAATCCACTCACCACCTGTGCTATGGATAACGGGAATGAAAGAGAAATCCTTCATAGGTACTGCCATACAGGGCCAAGGCGGCCAAGGAACCACCGCTGACATCCGCCGATATACGCGGGTTCCAGCCCCTTCTCGGCGCTTGTGCTGCTTAGGCTTGCCTCATGGCATGTGAAGATGGCTTCCTCCTTATGGGTCAGCGTGCGTTCCACTAGTGCGCATGACCGGAAGTGAATATCTGACGTATGACGTCAACGCGTTTCGCCGATGGGCGTATCTCACTCAGCTTCGTCAGGACCAATGAAACAACCGCATTTCAATTTCCTATTTATAGTGGGTAAAAGACCCACCCATTTATGCAAAAAGCCAACCTGCAGTTATTCCTAATGGAAGAAAGAAAGGGCTAAATACTTAGCACAGCTGCTGGTCATTGTTGAATATAATTAAAAAACAGATATTCGGAGACAACAGAGAGGGGAGAGACTTTAGCAATTTTGACGATGCATATATTAATCAAAAAATCATGAATTAAATATATTCGTCAACTAAAGCACCCATCACATTCTAACCAGAAGGTGGCGATATTAATCAGAGAATCTACAAGTCTATCCACTGAGTCAAATTATCAAAGAAACCCCTCTGAATTACCATAATATACCACAAGATGGCAATATAACCTGAAAATTCTCATTAAGGGTCACTTCAACAGAAATACCCCAATTTTTAAAAATTGGGACATTAGACTCATGTAGCCATTTTCCCTGCTACACATACATTTAGACCGGTTTTTTGTGTCATTTTAAATGGTTTTAGGTCTGTGTGTATTGTCTCATACTGAGGTGATGGTAAACCAGGGCGAATGCCCATATGTCATATTCATTTGTGTGTAATAAAGCATAATTTTTGGAAATTATTCCCTTAGTGTCACGTTCTGTTCATTATGTAGCCGCTTTTCTGTGAATCTCTTTTTCACAACCTTCCTTTTTTGTAGGCCCCATGAGATGCCCCTGGTACCTTTCATAGGCTTTTTTGGGTGTGGTTTGAGTGTGGACGAGGACACAGGGGCCCCATGATTTCCTATTGCCCCGGGGGCCCCCCATGAGTTGTCAGTCCGCCCCTGTTACCGTTATCACCAAAAAGTAAAAAGAAGACCCAAACTTTGGGTTGTCCCCAAAAAAGTGGGGATATCTTCCACTGGGGACACTAATAGACATGTGCATTTTTTTGTCAGAGATTCGTATGTTTACAAATCCCTGTTGCAGGTTCGGTGTGTTTTTTTAAAGTCCTGTTTGCTGCATTTTTTGGTCCAGGTTTGGCACGGTAAAAAAACACACACCAAAAATTCACCTCCCTATTGAAATCAATGGAAAATGTGGCAAAAGCACATAAAAATGCACCTGCGTTGTGTTTTTGGTGCTGTTTTTGAGTCATATGTCCTTTAAAAAATGCACTGCAAATGCAGTAAAAATGCGGCAAAAACGTATATGCTTTTTTGCCGTGGATCAGTGTTAAAGTAGCCTGAGGGAGATTTACCTTCTATATACAGTATCTCACAGATGTGAGTCCCCCCCTCACATTTTTGTAAATATTTTATTATATCTTTTCATGTGACAACACTGAAGAAATGACACTTTGCTACAATATAAAGTAGTCAGTGTACAGCTTGTATAACATGGAAATTTGTTGTCCCCTCAAAATAACTCAACACACAGCCATTAATGTCTAAACTGCTGGCAACAAAAGTGAGTCCACCCCTAAGTGACAAGGTCCACATTGGGCCCAATTAGCCATTTTCCCTCCCCGGTGTCATGTGACTCATTAGTGTTACAAGGTCTCAGGTGTGAATGGGGGGCAGGTGGGTTACATTTGGTGTTATCGCTCTCACTCTCTCATACTGGTCACTGGAAGTTCAACATGGCACCTCATGGCAAACAACTCTGAGGATCTTAAAAAAAGAATTGTTGCTCTACATAAAGATGGCCGAGGCTGTAAGAAGATTGCCAAGACCCTGAAACTGAGCTGCAGCACGGTGGCCAAGACCATACAGCAGTGTTACAGGACAGGTTCCATTCAGAACAGACCTCGCCATGGTCCACCAAAGAAGTTGAGTGCACGTGCTCAGCGTCATATCCAGAAGTTGTCTTTGGGAAATAGACGTATGAGTGCTGCCAGCGTTGCTGCAGAGGGTGAAGGGTGGGGGGTCAGCCTGTCAGTGGGGCCAGCATTGCTGCAGAGGGTGAAGGGGTGGGGGGTCAGCCTGTCAGTTCTCAGACCATACGCCACACACTGCATCACATCGGTCTGCATGGCTGTCATCCCAGAAGGACGCCTCTTCTAAAGATGATGCACAAGAAAGCCCTCAAACAGTTTGCTGAAGACAAGCAGACTAAGGACATGGAGTACTGGAACCGTCTCCTGTGGTCTGATGACACCAACATCAACTGATTGGGTTTAGATGGTGTCAGGCGTATGTGGCGGCAACCAGGTGAGGAGTACAAAGACAAGTGTGTCTTGCCTACAGTCAAGCATGGTGGGGGGAGTGTCACGGTCTGGGGCTGCATGGTGGTGGGAGTGTCACGGTCTGGGGCTGCATGGTGGTGGGGGTGTCATGGTCTGGGGCTGCATGGTGGTGGGGGTGTCACGGTCTGGGGCTGCATGGTGGTGGGGGTGTCATGGTCTGGGGCTGCATGGTGGTGGGGGTGTCATGGTCTGGGGCTGCATGGTGGTGGGGGTGTCATGGTCTGGGGCTGCATGGTGGTGGGGGTGTCATGGTCTGGGGCTGCATGGTGGTGGGGGGGTGTCATGGTCTGGGGCTGCATGGTGGTGGGAGTGTCATGGTCTGGAGCTGCATGGTGGTGGGGGTGTCATGGTCTGGGGCTGCATGGTGGTGGGGGGTGTCATGGTCTGGGGCTGCATGGTGGTGGGGGTGTCATGGTCTGGGGCTGCATGGTGGTGGGGGTGTCATGGTCTGGGGCTGCATGGTGGTGGGGGTGTCATGGTCTGGGGCTGGCTGCATGGTGGTGGGGAGTGTCATGGTCTGGGGCTGCATGGTGGTGGGAGTGTCACGGTCTGGGGCCGCATGGTGGAGGGGGTGTCATGGTCTGGGGCTGCATGAGTGCTGCCGGAACTGGCGAGCTACAGTTCATTGAGGGAACCATGAATGCCAACATGTACTGTGACATACTGAAGCAGAGCATGATCCCCTCCCTCCGGAGACTGCACCACAGGGCAGTATCACAACATGATAACCACCCCAAACACACCTTCAAGACCACCACTGCCTGGTGATGGACTGGCCAAGCATGTCTCCAGACCTAAACCCTATTGAGCATCTGTGGGGCATCCTCAAATGGAAGGTGGAGAAGCGCAAGGTCTCTAACATCCACTAGCTCCATCATGGAGGAGTGGAAGAGGACTCCAGTGGCAACCTGTTAAGCTCTGATGCCCAAGTGGGTTAAGGCAGTGCTGGAAAATAATGGCGGCCACACAAAATATTGACACTTTGGGCCCAATTTGGACATTTTCACTTAGGGGTGGACTCACTTTTGTTGCCAGCGGTTTAGACATTAATGGCTGTGTGTTGAGTTATGTTGAGGGGACAGCAAATTTCCATGTTATACAAGCTGTACACTGACTACGTCACATTGTAGCAAAGTGTCATTTCTTCAGTGCTGTCACATGGAAATATATAATAAAATATTTACAAAAATGTGAGGGGGGGGACTCACTTCTGGGAGATACTGTTTGTCCCGTTGAGTGTTCTCAGCCCACAACAGTTTTTTTTCTGTATTTACAGGGTCTTAAAATGAATAAAACATGGGGAAATGTGCATGCGTTGCAGATATGTACAGCATGTGGTTTTTTTTTGTTTTGCCCTGATAATATATCTAAAGGCTGAGTCCACCTTTTATGCCATGTTACCCCCATGTTTAGGGTATATCAGGGGCGGACTGACCATTTGGAAACTTGGGCACTGCCCGAGGGCCCGGGGTCAGTAGGGGGCCCCATGAGATACCCCTGGTACCTTTTTCATAGGCTTTTTTGAGTTTGGGCAAGGATACAGGGGCCCATGATCCCCTATTGCCCGGGGGCCCCATGAGTTGTCAGTCCACCCCTGGGTATATATTTGTTGGCCAAACAGTGGCTGCATCCAATTAGATGCAGTCACTATTTGGGTATTCTGACAGCAACTGCTAGCAGCTGTCAGAATACAATGGAGAAACGGGGATTCATCTATCGTTGCTGTATAGTGTGGATGAAGGAATCTGTTTTTGTATTATTCGGCTTGCAGGCTGAATGAAAAAAAAATCCAATGGTGTATGGCCAGTCTTCTCTATCTTCTGTGTAGTGTGGGAGGGTACTTACTGCAGTGCCCATATTGCCTCCTTGTGACATGGACACTGCCTACTGTTTGTTGGCAGAGTCCAATCCAAGTCCCTGAAGTCTTCATAGTATCTCAACAACGAGGGCAGACAAAATACTGATCTACTGAGCAGTGATCGCAGAGCATATTCCAATCAGTGGTCACCATTCCCAGAGGCGATACTGTGGACTCTTAGGCCTGGAGTGCTTCAAGGAGAAGTTCACTTTTGTAAAACAAAACAAAACAATAATAATAATAACAAATGCACGTTTTTTGTTTTTTTTTTTTTTTGCAGATAGCCTGCAGAGCAGGGTGCAAGTTCAGGCAACACCAGGCTCCTGCAGAATGCTCGTACCTCCCATACGAGAAGACCGTTATGAAGAATCAATGGACTACGAGGGCATTCACCAGTTACCTCGCGGTTTATTAATCACTCGCCCCCTCCTGAGGATTTACCCCCCTTAATGACCACGCCTCTTTTTGCTACTCGGCGCTGCACTAATTCAACTGATAATTGCGCAGTCATGCAGGAACGGACTGACGATTCGAGCACTCGGGCATTGCCCGAGGGCCCGGGGTAAGTAGGGGGCCCCATGAAATGCCATTAGTACCTTTTTATAGGTTTTTTTGAGTGTGGGCAAGGACACAGGGGCCTCATGATACCCTATTGCCCGGGGGCCCCATGAGTTGTCAGTCCGCCCCTGCGGTCATGCAATGCTGTTTCCAAACGAAATTTACGTCCTTTTTTTTCCCCACAAATAGAGCTTTCTTTCGGTGGAATTTGATCACCTGTGCGCTTTTTATTTTTCACGCTATAAACAAAAAAAGACCAAACATTTTGAAGAAAAACAATATTTTTTACTTTCAGCTATAAAAAATATATAGTAAACTCAAAGCTGGTTATAAATTTAGGCCAAAATATATTCTGCTCCATGTTTTTGGTAAAAAAAATCCCAATAAGTGTATATTGATTGCTTTGTGTGAAGTTATAGCGTCTACAAACTATGGGATAGATACTGCAATTTACGCCATTTGTTTGCTATACAGCGCTGCGCTAGTTTAACGGACAATTGCGCGGTCATGCAATACGGTACATAAATGAAATTTACTTCCTTTTTTTCCCACAAATTGAGCTTTCTTTTGGTGGTATTTGATCGCCTGTGCGATTTTTATTTTTTTTTCGCTATGAAAAAAAAAGGCTGCCAATTTTGAGAAAAAAAAACAATATTTTGTACTTTTTGCTATAAAAACATGTCCAGTAAAAAAAAAAAATTTAAAAATCAAATTTAGTCATAAATTTCTGCCAAAATGTATTCTGCGACATGTCTTTGCTAAAAAAAACCCAAAACGTGTAAATTAATTGGTTTACGTGAAAGTTATAGCGTTTACAAATGGCGGGAAAGATACTGGGATTTAAAAAACATTTTATACTAATAATGGCGGCGATCAGCGACTTATGGCGGGACTGCAGCGGACATTCTGACATTGGGGGGTACGGACTTGGGGTTACTGACATCCCCAGTGACACCAATACAGTGATCAGTGCAAAAAAAAAAAAAACACTGACACTGTACTAATGGCACTGGGGAGGAAGGGGTTAACTTTATTATTCACTGTGTGAGGGGAGTGTTTTACTAGGGGGCGGGGGTGTGTACTGCAGGGAACACCACTGATCGGGAGAGATAAACTCTTCTCTCGGGATCAGCGTGTCAGGAGCTGACAGGGGACTGACAGAAAGCACAGCTACTGCAGCCCTGCTCTCTGTCAGTGATTGCCGCTAATCGGCGGGACACAACCGGTAACGACCGGCTGTGACCCGGCGACTGACATCCGCGGCCTGCGGGACAGGAAGGACGGTGGTGTGCCTCGCGCACGCCCCCTACCTGTTTTGCAAACACGTTTTAAAAACGTGGTTTTGCCCAGCCGCCCTGCCACCGTATTTCTACAGTGGCTGGGCGGCATGTGGTTAATGTCCATATCCGTTAACATCCGTCTTTTGAACGGAAGAAACCCCTATTTTTCTTCCGTAAAAAACCCAGAACGGACAAAACAGACAAAACAGAAGTCAACAGACTAAAAATGAATGTAAACGGAAAAAAAAAACGGATCAAAAAACGGATGTAAACTGATAAGAAACGGATGGAAACTGCTGAAACCGGATGGAAACTGCTGAAACCGGATGTAAACTGATCTGTTTTTTTCTTGGAATAAACTTGATTGAACTTTTAAAAAAACAGAACACCAGTGTGAGAGGAGCCTTAGACAACAGGAACGTTTGAGCGAGGAGTAGTTTCACTGGCCGGAAGTGGGAATATTGCACAAGGCGGAACTTCCTGTCGGAGGGTAAGGCGGAACTTCCTGTCGGAGAGGTAAGGCGGAACTACCTGTCGGAGGGGTAAGGCGGAACTTCCTGTCGGAAGGGTAAGGCGGAACTTCCTGTCGGAGGGGTAAGGCGGAACTTCCTGTCGGAGAGGTAGGCCGCTAGTAGTGGGTGTAGAGTCTGTAGGAGACGAGCGCTAGTTTCGAATCGATATCGCAGGGAGGACGGCGATTTGCAGCGATGTACAGGCCGAATTATCGCTCTCCTAACCCCTGTGGAGGCGGCAGTGTTGATGGAAGCCCGGGGCCCTTCCGTAGCCCAGGGCCCTTCCCAGGCTCCGGGAGCCCCATGCTTCCTCCGCCACTGCCGCCCCGGGGCTACGGGAGCCCTCACACACCGAATTATGGGCAGAGACCTGCAAGGCCGTACGGGAGCGGGGGAGGGCAGTCTCCGCGGTCTTCACCTTCTCATGGCGGCTGGTACGGCGCTCAGTCTCCGGGTAACACTCCACCCCGAAGAGGCAGCCCTCGGTATAACGTGTCACCGTACAACAAGTCTCCGGGAGGAGGAAACCAGCACTACCAGCAGCACAACGCCCGAGGATACTCTTCTCCCAGACACCCCGCCAACTACCAGGTAATCGGGAAGGCTGCCTCTCACCCCAATACCGGACACTTCCTTCATTTCTTACCCCACAACAGTGTAAGCTCAGCGCTATTAACCCTCTCAGGGCCCAGCTAGTATGTAAGCATGGAGGACACGTGACCCGCCACTGAAAACTCCGCCCCTATCAGGGCGGACTGACCATTTGGAAACTCAGGCACTGCCCGGGGTCAGTAGGCGGCCCCATGAGATGCTCCTGGTACCTTTTTCATAGGCTTTTTTGAGTTTGGGCAAGGATACAGGGGCCCCACGATCCCCTATTGCCCGGGGGCCCCACGATCCCCTATTGCCCGGGGGCCCCATGATCCCCATATTGAGGGCCCGGATCAGTAGGGGACCCCATGAGATGCCCCTGCTACCTTTTTCATAGGCTTTTTTGAGTTTGGGCAAGGACACAGGGGCCCCATGATCCCCTATTGCCCGGGGGCCCCAATGTTCCCCTATTGAAGGCCCAGGTCAGTAGGGGGCCCCATGAGATGCCCCTGCTACCTTTTTCATAGGCTTTTTTGAGTTCGGGCAAGGACACGGGCCCCATGATCCCCTATTGCCCAGGGACCCCATGATACCCTATTGAGGGCCCGGAGTCAGTAGGGGGCCCCATGATACCCTATTGAGGGCCCGGAGTCAGTAGGGGGTCCCATGATCTCCGATTGCCCGGGGGCCCCATGATCCCCTATTGAGGTCCCGGAGTCGGTAGGGGGCCCCATGAGTTGTCAGTCCGCCCCTGGCCCCTATCCACACCTGAGTGACGTCACGCTTTTTTCTTTTTAGCGTATTTTTCTCCACTTGAATCTACAACAAATGCGCCAAAGCAGCTCCATTACTTTCTATGACACTCAGCCAAGAGCTTTATGCGTTTCATGGTTTCCACCTGACAGAACGCTGGGCGCCCTCAGGAAATAATGGGACCAAAAGCGCATTTTGCTTTTTTTTTTATTATTTATTTTTTTTTATAAGCCCGTTTCTGAAAACATCGGCGGAAGCACAAGTACCCGACTTTCCAGGCCACCTGTGAGGTGGACGATGAACGTGACTTCCGGGTTTCTCTTCTTCTTTTCTCCATGTAACTCCCAAAATATTGTTTTCCTTCTTCTCAGAAAGTGGTGCTCCTGCACAAGCGGTTCTAAAGCCGGAATATATATATATTTTTTTTTTGCATTAAAGTATAACTAAAAGCAAAACTTTTTTTTGTAAAACTAAAGGCAAACTTTTTTTTTTTTTTTTAGTTTTGGTTAGAGTGGGGAGGGATTAGAACCCCTGTCAGGTCTTTGTCCCTGTTAGGGAGACTCTATTTCTCCTGTTTACCATTATCCGTGAAAGTAAAAGAAAATCCCAAATTTGGGGTTGCCAAGAAATACAAGGAAATCTTCCATTGGGGACACTAGTTCTGGTGATCTGGGGGTATCAAAGGAATTCCGGTAATTTGCAGGGATTTCCTCTCACGTCTTGTGTTGCTATGGGACAGGAAGTGAAGGGAAATCTCACCAATGGGGCACAGATCGTGATAAAAGGTGACGTATAACCCCCCCAGCCCAGCAACCCCCCACTCCATCCAAAATGGAAAAATAAAAGGTTCGCCTATAACTCTATTTCGATGCATTCCTTGCCTTAACCCTTTTGCTGCCAGGCCCTGCGCTACACTTTAAAACTCAGGTGGCCGGACTATTTTTGCAATTTTTCCATTTAGTGGTGCACTAAAATGAAAATTCTGGTGCTGAAACCAAAAATTGAGGATGCAGTTAGCAGAAAACCGAAACCAAAACAGGGTTTTTTTTTTTTTTTTAAAAAAAATGTTTTTTTAAAAAATGTAATTAATGTGGCTGGTAATTTTGCATTGAAGTCACTAGGGGGCGCTTTTGCAAGAGTCAATGAGATGAGATTTTGCATTGAAGTCACTAGGGGGCACTTTGCATTGAAGTGAGCGGGGACGAAATTTTGCATTGAAGTCACTAGGGGGCGATTTTGCATTGATGTCACTAGGGGGCGATTTTGCATTGATGTCACTAGGGGGCGATTTTGCATTGATGTCACTAGGGGGCGATTTTGCATTGATGTCACTAGGGGGCGATTTTGCATTGATGTCACTAGGGGGCGATTTTGCATTGATGTCACTAGGGGGCGATTTTGCATTGAAGTGAGCGGGGACGAAATTTTGCATTGATGTCACTAGGGGGCAATTTTGCATTGATGTCACTAGGGGGCGATTTTGCATTGATGTCACTAGGGGGCGATTTTGCATTGATGACACTAGGGGGCGATTTTGCATTGATGACACTAGGGGGCGATTTTGCATTGATGACACTAGGGGGCGATTTTGCATTGATGACACTAGGGGGCGATTTTGCATTGATGACACTAGGGGGCGATTTTGCATTGATGACACTAGGGGGCGATTTTGCATTGATGTCACTAGGGGGCATTTTTGCAAGAGTCCATGAGATGCGATTTTGCATTGAAGTCAGCGGGGATGCGATTTTGCATTGATGTCACTAGGGGCATTTTTGCAAGAGTCCATGAGATGCGATTTTGCATTGAAGTCAGCGGGGATGCGATTTTGCATTGATGTCACTAGGGGGCATTTTTGCAAGAGTTCCTGAGATGCGATTTTGCATTGAAGTCTGCGGGGATGCGATTTTGCATTGATGTCACTAGGGGGCATTTTTGCAAGAGTTCCTGAGATGCGATTTTGCATTGAAGTCAGCAGGGGCGCTTTGCATTGAAGCCTGGGGGATGCGATTTTGCATTGATGTCACTAGGGGGCGATTTTGCATTGAAGTCACTAGGGGGCATTTTTGCAAGAGTTCCTGAGATGCAATTTTGCATTGAAGTCAGCGGGGGCGCTTTGCATTGAAGTCTGCGGGGATGCGATTTTGCATTGATGTCACTAGGGGGCATTTTTGCATTTTAGTCAATGGGGACGTGACTGCATGAACGTTTATGAGACGCGACATTGTATGTATCGCCACCTTCTTCCCTATTGACAAAATGCCGATAAAACGATTTTCGGCTAATGTGTTTCGGCTGCCAATGTATGGGTGCATCTCTATTTCCATCGCTTTTTATTTTTCCCTTACAGCTTTCAGAGTTTGTGGAAGACCCCAAACCATTATTTTTTGTAAAAGTACATGACCTATAGAAAAAAAATAACGTGCCACAGATTTTTTTTAGACCCCACAATATTTGAGCAAATGTTTATCAAATCGCTATTTTCACTAAAATCATTACTAGTTGATACATACGTGGCAGAATTGACAACATTCCTGCTTCTAATGCAGGCCATAGATGGGTCGAAAATCGGCCGATTTTCGGATCGTTAGTGGGCTATTTGTTCGGCCGTTTTTTCGGTATTTTGGCCGTTTTTTTTTTTTTTCTGGTAAAGTTGGAAAAAAAATCGGCCGATTTTGCCGATCGGCCAATTTTCGTGGCAATAATGGGCAAATCGGCCGATTTTTTTTTTTTACCGATAAAAAATCTGCGCATGAGCAGTGACCTGCAAGAGGAAGACAAAAATAAGAAGAAGAGGATGAAGATGATGAAGAGGAAGAAGAAGAGGATGATGAAGAAGAAGAGGATGATGATGATGAAGAGGAAGAAGTAGAAGAGGATGATGATGAAGAAGAAGTAGAAGAAGATGATGATGAAGAAGAAGTAGAAGAAGATGATGATGATGATGAGGAAGAAGAAGAAGAAGAGGATGATGATGAGGAGAAGGAAAGAAGAAGTAGAAGAAGAAGAGGATGATGAAGAGGAAGAAGAAGATGATGATGATGAAGAAGAAGAGGATGATGATGATGAAGAGGAAGAAGTAGAAGAAGAGGATGATGATGAAGAGGAAGAAGTAGTAGAAGAAGAAGAGGATGATGAAGAGGAAGAAGTAGTAGAAGAGGATGATGATGATGAAGAGGAAGAAGTAGTAGTAGTAGCAGAAGAAGATGAGATGAAGAGGAAGAAGAAGTAGTAGAAGAAGAAGAGAAGAAGAAGAGAAAAGAGAGAGATGATGAAGAAGAGGATGATGATGATGAAGAAGAAGAGGATGATGATGAAGCAGGAGAAGAAGAAGGATGAAAAATTAGAGGAATTCCAGTACGGCAAAAAGTGTCCCTGCAGAGAGCTCCGCTATTTCTTTGACAGTTCTTTGACATTTACAGAGGTTGCAACAATGTATCTATTTGTTTCCGAATAAAAACATCTGTATCCTAAATGGATACAAATAGATATATTGTTGCAACCGCTGTAAATGTCAAGGAACTGTCAAAGAAATAGCGGAGCTCTCTGCAGGGACACTTTTTGCCGGCTGTAGACGGGATGAAAATCGGCCGATTTTTTTTTTTTTTTTTTTACCATTGATGGTAACGTCGGCCGCTTGAATGACCGATTTTTTCGTTTTTTAAAAGAAAAATCTGCCGTTTTTTCTCCCCGTCTATGGCCTGCATAAGGCCTCGTTCACATTGGGCGTACTAAAGTGTATGCCTGTGGAGGGCCACGTTTACCCGCATGGACAGGTGTTCCATGCATTCCAATGCAAGCAGTCCTATTCATGGCAATTGGGATGCAAGGACTGCACAGGCACAGGCACTGCTCCACATCTGACATCCGTGTGGGTGTGGATGTACAACCCCCATCAGATATGCACCCAGACCCACATGGATGTCATATTGGCAGCAACAGCTGTGTTTGCGCAGGTGCTACATCCCAAATGACATGAATAGGACTGCCTGCACGGAACGCATCTGTGCATGCCTGTACCGGTAACACGGCCTAGCGGGGGCATACGCTGTAGTATGAACAAGGCCTTACTATGTTTTTTAATTTTTTTTTACAATTTTATTTTTAATATTTTGTATTTTTGAGGGGTGTTGGGGCTTCTTTTTTTTTTTTTGAGACAGAGAAAGGAACAGAAGACAATCCCTTTCCCTGCAGCCTGAGCAGCATTGTACATGAATGAATGGGAATCTGTATAGAGGCTCCTATTCATTCACAAACTCAAGCATCATAGTAAACGTCAGTGATGAAGAACACAGGAGTGATCAGTAGTGTTTCCTCACTGTGTGGGACTGCAGTGGCACCAATGCCAGGGGATTAATAAGGGGGGAACATTGCAAGGGGTTCAGAGTAAGAGAGAAACGAAAAAGTCGGCAGGATGTCATATGGGGGCATATACAGTGATTAATGATAGGGGGAGGGGCAGAGAAAGTGACACTGAAGGGGGACATGGGCAAGTAAAGAGATCACACTTTTGCCTGCCTGGAAATGAAGGGAATCTGGCAGTGAAGCCTTGTGACTTCACAGCTGGTTTCCCACTGCACAGGCCTCCCTGTGCTTTTGTGAATGGTCCTACAATCTTTTGGGACCTGTGATGTGTCCCAGAAGGCTTTGGGGGTAGGAGGGGGGACCGAACGTTTGCTCAGATCACTGAGGCAATCCAACCAGAATGACCTGTTTCCCTGCCGCACTCTGTAGAAGTGATCGAGCGTCTGTAGTGATGTTGGGGTCACTTCTGCATGAAAGCCCATCATTGGCTGAAAATCCAGCTGTCTTTTAAGATGGCAAGGGTTGTTTAGGAGAGGATTGGGAGGCAGATGGGGTGGAGGGGCAGCGTGGTGAAATTTATGCTTTAAAATTTTCCTACTGTGCCCAAGACTTTAGGCAGGCCATAGACGGGACGAAAAATCGGTTGGCCCCGTTGCCGATGCTGCCACCAATGTCCTAGGAAACCGGCCCTCTTTTGTGGATTTTCCAGCATGACCGATAAAAATAAATTAGAAGATCCGCGAAAAACGGCCCCTCGAATGGCGTGAATATTGTCCAAATTTTTTTCGTGCGGCCGAAAATTCGGCCGATAAACGACCCGTCTATGACCTGCATTAAAGTTAGAGAGAAAACAGGCGGCGCACACACCTAGTGCATTATCCAAGGTTTATTGTAGGAGGAAATAATAAAAACATACTCACAGACGAAGCATGGATCTAAAAAGCATAGAAAAATGACAATGGCCACAACGGCGGGCAAGGTGTTCTCACTGTCAGTGCGGCCAAATGGCTGACGCGTTTCGGGGACGAATCCCTTTCCTCAGAGCTGATGACCAACCTGTGGGGAAATGGCTGCTGGAATGCAAACCGCAAGACAGCCACTCTCTATCCGGTGGCTGATCTCCCCGTCTGAGGAGGGCTGCACCCCTGAAGCATTTCCTTTGGTATTCGCTGTCCTGGTACCCTTGGCTTCCCTTTTGGCTGTGCATATCCTGAGGCGCTGGAGACTACATACGATATCCGGTTCGGTTGCGTTAACGTTAGGAATGTACTTGGGTTGGGTGTTAAGTTGAATCTTTGCACATCCACTTCAGGTTATTGTATTTTATTTTATTTTTTTTTTTAAATGGAACTGAACTCTAGATAGTATGTGTGGGCGGAAACAAATGAAAGACTAGTCACCAGATCTTTTTTTTTTTTCCATTACAATAGCTGAGTAAATTAGTAAAAATCATATTAGAATTTTTTTTACTAGTAGAAATCTTGAGTGGTTTAAAACATAATTTAACCCCTCGCCTACCGGGCACTTGTACCCCCTTCCTTACCAGGCCAATTTTCAGCTTTCGGCGCTGCCGCACTTTGATTGACAATTGCGCGGTCATGCAACATTGTACCCATATGACATTTTGATCATTTTTTTCTCACAAATAGAGCTTTCTTTTGGTGGTATTTAATCGCCACTGGGCGCTTTACTTTTTGCGCTATAAATAAAAAAGTGCAAAAAATTTGAAAAAAAAAAAAAAGTTTGTTTCTATTATAAAATTTTTCAAACAGGTATTTTTTCTCCTTCACTGATGTGCGTTGATGAGGCGGCACTGATAGGCACTGATAGGCAGTACTAATGAGGTGTCACGGATAGGCGGCACTAATATGCAGCACTGATAGGCGGCACTGATGATGGGTACTGATAGACGGCACTGACTGGCATCACTGCTGGGCACTGACTGGCACAACCCCTGGGCACTGACTGGCTGCACAGGTGGGTGGCACACAGGTGGGTGGCACTGGTGGGCACAGGTGGGTGGCACTGCTGGGCACATGTAGGTGGCACTTCTGGGGCACAGGTAGGTGCACTGCTGCACATGTAGTGGCACTTCTGGTGGTGGGTGCACTGCTGGGCACAGGTGGGTGATCTGCTGGGCACAGGTGGGCAGAGCTAGTGGGCGCACTGCTGGGCACAGGTGGGCGGAGCTTGTGGGGGCACTGCTGGGCACCGATCATCAGGGCATTGATCATCATTGCCCTGATGATCGGTGCCGATCCCCGCTCTGACAACTGCCGGTTCTCGGCAGTACTTTCCTCACGATCTGACAGCGTGAGGAAAGTGCAGCCGAGAAACGGCACTTGCATTTCCCTCTGATCAGCGTGTCATTGGACACCGCTGATCAGGTGGTAAAAGGCCGCTGTGATTGGCCTTTTACCACATCACGTGATCGCTGTGTCCGTAGGACACAGCGATCACGGAGATCGCCGGGTGCGCGCCCCCTGGGGTGCGCAGGAGAGTGCGTTCTGGGAGGACGTCATATGACGTCCACCCAGAACTGGCCGGCCGCAGTGCAGCCGTCATTCGGCTATCTGCGGTCAGCAAGTAGTTAATCAACGTATTTTTACACAGTTTTGCTGCTTTTGCTTTTGATATGCACACAGGAGATGGACGTGCAGAAACAAAACAAAACATGTTTACTGTTTGATAGACAGTGGATTAATCTTCTAATCAGGGTGGATTGGATGTAAATCACTAGTCAGTCAGGCTGGATGTAAATCCTCGTTTTCTACATAAAGACTAATTCTTGCTGGTATAACTTTAATATACAAGTAGATGAAGATTTTTAGAACAACAACTTTTCATAGTTTTTTTTTCTCCCCAGTTTAATAGGTTAATCATTCATATTTGGACAACTTTTCTGTTACTTAGGAAGGAGAAAAATAATCATTTCCTTAATAATAACAATGTAAATAGATTTATTCAACTGAAACAATAAGATTCCAGCATCTGTGATTTGCTTAAACATCCATGTTTGGTAACTAATTTGGCTAAACAAAATATATATATTTTATATTTTAGACTGTCAGAAACGTGTCAGCCCCTCCCTCCTCGCACTGTCGGCCCCTTCCCCCTCGCGCTGTCGGCCCCTTCCCCCTCCGCTGTCGGCCCCTCCCCCTGGCTGTCGGCCCCTTCCCCCTCGCGCTGTCGGCCCCTCCCCCTCGCGCTGTCGGCCCCCCCCCTCGCGCTGTCGGCCCCTTCCCCCTCGCGCTGTCGGCCCCTCCCTCCTCGCACTGTCCCCCTCCCACTTCCTCGCACTGTTTCCTCTTCCTCTTCTTGTGTCGCAGACTTAGTTTCACTTTCCTTGTGCAATCTATTCACTCCAAACAATCAGAAAAATATTGTTTCTATTCTATTCACTGAACTTCTTGCACCTTGGCACTGAAGGGGCTGATTCTGTATTCATAGGTGTGTAGAAGTTAGGATGAAGGTCTTTTTCTTACCTCTGTTCATGTTATAACATTTTTGCTGTGAAAGAGTCCTGTGATCTCCGCTGAGTCACATTCAGTTTTGGGAACTGCAAAAGTAAACCAATCATCTGTGATAATATCTTGTAGGCAGAGAAACTGCCCAATAATCTCACAGAAACCTCTGGAGAGCGACATTGGAATGGATTCAGGGGATTTATTTACCAAAACAATTGAACATATACAGCCTTATTCTACATAATTACAAAACTCATCTTTATTTCATGATGGAATAACCTTTGGATGGTAATATATTTTCCTCAAAAAGCATTTTATTTACAAAAATCCGATTTAAATAAAAAAAAATCCGATTTAAATAAAAAAAAATCCGATTTAAATAAAAAAAAATCTTTTTTTTTTTTTTTTTTTTTTTAAAATCATTGATTTTTATCCACCCTGCTTCTAATGGATATGAATAGTGAACGCCCGCTGTGTATAGATACAAAGGATGTTCTACTTCCTGTTTCCTGTCTATATGGTATTTACAACTAAGGAATGAATATTCCGGCTGAACTAGTATCTGCTCCTGTTATGGGATCATTACAGATGAGTTATTTTTTTCTAAATGTCTTAATATTCTGTAGAAGTGCTTCATGTGCTGTTATGTTAATAAAGATCATCATCTGATTCATTGAGTGCAAATACTTTTTACAGCAAAAATGCGCAGAAAACCAGGAGGTTTCCCAATCATGTGATTATTTTATTCAGCAGTTGTGTTTCTAAGGTTGGGGGGAGGGGGATGTTTTAAATGCTACATGACTATAATTTTTTTCTGAAAATGGAGGACATATATATTGAATATTTGTTTACCTGATGATTTTCTTTCAAAGGGTTCTCCCAGGACATCTACACCTTACGGTACGGCGCATGGCAGAGAGAAAAGAGTGTCTGATGTGGAAAACTATTACAGACCATCAATGCTTGAGGACCCTTGGGCTAACCTAAAGCCATTGTCCTTATCAGACATAGACCAAAAGATCAACAGTGAGCAGACAACCAGCACTGGCAAAAAAGGGAGGTATTTTAGCTAACCCCTAAAATTCCAAACTCTGAGTGTAGACTAAAAACGAGGGATGGTAAAGGAAACAAGTCAACACTTTTTTTTTTTTTTAAATTTTGAGAAAAAAATTCTTTTATCAGATTTATTTTTTTATTGCACCTGATATTACCGCCATACAGTGTTTGGAAGTCTAGAGCTGTAGTTGGAAAAAGTCAGGAAGTCCACCAGCAATGAAGAACAAGTTGTTCTCCAATCACCAGCGTTCTGTGACTGAATTACAAGTTTGTTTCCAAGACTTCTCACTAATCTGCATCCCTTAGGCTTATCCTAAAGCCTAATTTTTACTATTTGTTCCACTAAATTGGATTTATTTTTAGGAAATACGATGGGTTTGTAATCTGTTTATGCTTAAAGTACAGTATTTGTATGTCATTTTCAGAAGAACTTTTAGTTTTATATTCTAAGATTACTGTCATGGCATTGTGTCATGTCCATGCCCTTCTTTTTCATTTTTTTTTTTTTTTCTTTCTGGTAATGTGCTTCCAGTTTTATTCAACATAAAGTTGCTTCATGAAAGCACGTTCGTTTGGACATATACATTGTATTTTATTTTATTTTGTAGAAGCCAAATTACAGAGTTTAAAACACCTTTATTGTGTACACTTTTTAGTGTTTTTATGTTTGAAACTAGCTTGCTTAGTGTACTTAGCATATGGCTAACTTGTATTGTTTGTATCATTTGTCTTGAGAGATTTTTAATTTATAAAAGGAAGCGCTCCTGAAGTGTTTTCATTTATAATCATTTTATTTCCGTAGGCGCTGAAAGTTTCACCTTTTTTAGGGAACATGGAGAAAGTGTGTAAACGTCATGTGACTGTGTATCAGGAACATAATGAAGCTGAGATTAGCCATGACCTCTGCTAAATGTAATATTATGGCTTTGGTTTCCTTCTTTTATCTTTGTTATTATGTTTTTTTACAGTGATCATCTCTCTCCATTAAAGTTTTTTTTGTTTGGTAGTGTGGAAACTGAAGCAGTTTTAGCTGCTTGAAACTTCATTATTGTGGACCAAAAGGTCAGGGCTCAAAAATGAAATGCATTGTTAGTCCTTTCCTATGTAGTAAAAAATAACAGGCTTGTGTCTCCTTCAGTAAAGATTATTGTGGACTTAAAGTACACCTGTTACAAGAGAATCTGTGGCCTGCCATTACTGACCCCCCCTTTGGGAAAAGAGTTCCTGGGCTCTCATGTGAATCAGTCAAGATAGGCTTTGAATTTCATTTTCTGAAAGCATCCTGGTCCCCTTGGGTCTGTCATTCAAAAGTTACAAAGTTGGATGCATCCAAGCAAATGAACCCTTTTGTGAGATTGCCAGCAGTGGGGTTCATATTTGTAGAGTTGCAAGAAATAGTATGTGACCCCCTTGGGATTCCGTGGAGTTTTGCATGAATTGGGCATAAAATGTGCTCTGAACGTCATCTAACTCACAACAATAGAAGAACACAGTCTGCTGAACATAATACTACACAAACATTAGATGTTGCCATGGTTTAATTGCACATAACATGTAAACATTCACAGTGCAGGGAGGAAAAAGTATGTGAACCTTTGGACTTAATAACTGGTTGACCCTCCTTTGGCAGCAATAACCTCAACCAAACGTTTCCTGTAGTTGCAGATCAGACCTGCACAACGATCTGGAGTCATTTTGGACCACTCCTCTTCACAAAACTGTTTCAGTGTAGCAATATTCTTGGGATGTCTGGTGTGAATCGCTCTCTTAAGGTCATGCCACAGCATTTCAATGGGGTTGAGGTCAGGACTCTGACTGGGCCACTCCAGAAGGCGTATTCTGTGCTGTTGCAGCCATTGTTTTGTTGAATGACTTGTATGCTTTGGGTCATTGTCCTGTTGCCTCACCCATCCTCTGCGGAGCTTCAGTTGGCGGACAGATGGTCGTACGTTTTCCTGCAAAATGTCTTGATTAACTCTGGAATTCATTTTCCCATCAATGACAACAATCCATCCAGGCCCTGAGGCAGCAAAGCAGCCCCAAACCATGATGCTCCCTCCGCCATGTTTCACAGTGGGGATGAGGTTTTGATGTTGGTGTGCTGGGCCTTTTTTTCTCCACACATAGTGTTGTGTGTTCTTCCCAAACAACTCAATCTTGGTGTCATCTGTCCACAGAATATTTTGCCAGTAGTGCTGTGGACACATCCAGGTGCTCTTTTGCAAACTTCAAACGTGCTGCAATCTTCTTTTTGGCCAGCAATGGCTTCCTCCGTGGTGTCCTCCCATGTACTCCATTCTTGTTTAATGTTTTCCTTATTGTAGATGTGTCAACAAAAATGTTAGCATGTGCCAGAGATTTCTGTAGGTGTTTAGCTGACACTCTGGGATTCTTCTTTACCTCATGCAGCATTCTGCGCTGTGCTCTTGCAGTCATTTTTACAGGACGACCGCGCCTAGGGAGAGTAGCACCAGTGCTAAACTTTCTCCATTTGTAGACAGTCTGTGTTACCGTGGACACATGAACATCAAGGCTTTTGGAGATACTTTTGTAACCCTTTCCAGCTTCATGCAAGTCAAAAATTCTTGATCGTAGGTCTTCTGAGAGCTCCTTTCTGCGAGGCATGGTTCACATCAGACAGTGCTTCTTGAAACCAGTAAACCCAAAACAGGTGTCAGCAACACATCCAATATCATCACACTGATTGGAGTCAAGGTTGGCTCACTCCTGGCTCCAATTAGCTCTGGGAGAAGTCATTAAGCTAGGGCCTCACATACTTTTTCCTCCCTGCACTGTGAATGTTTACATGTTATGTGCAATTAAACCATGGCAACATCTAATGTTTGTGTAGTATTTATGTTCAGCAGACTGTGTTCTTCTATTGTTGTGACTTAGATGACGTTCAGAGCACATTTTATGCCCAATTCATGCAAAACTCCACGTAATCCCAAGGGGTCACATACTTTTTCTTGCAACTGTATACCAAATGTGCTTTAAGGCTTAGGCTATCAAAACTGTTGCTATTATATGCAGATGGTGGTGAGCTCTCCCAGGCATTTCTTGAGCCAATAGAGTGTAGTCTTTCTCAACCAGAGTTCTATGTAACCCAAAGGGGTTCCTTCAGATGTTTTTAGAACCTTTCAGATACGTTTCCAATCAAATTTCTAAGTATTTCCAAGGGACAGGATGGGGAATTCTTCCAACTGATCAGCAGAATAAGGAGTGGTTTTTTTTTTGCACTGACCATCACATTGCACTAAGGGGGTCCTACCATTGACGACCAGTGTGTGGAAGCACTACAATTTTTTTACAGTCTACATTTATTTTCTTGCCATTATAATTTTTCATGTTGTTATAACTGGAGATAATTTTCTTGTATAGAGCAGCTAGGTGTCGACTACATGCCATGTGTGGCACATTACTTATCTTCTATTTATTTTTATATTCACAACTTACTGTTTTACGCTTCCCCGGGACCTCAGTGGTATTTTATGGGTTCTTCCATGTTAAGAGGTTAGGCTGCTCTGAAGGCAAGACCTTCCTGGTCATATTTTAAAAATTCCCCCACTCTGCTCCACTATCTACAAAACAGGAATAGTGTTAGTGCTGTGTCTTACTCTATATCATTGGTCTCCAAACTGCTTCCTGGGGGCCAGATGCGGCCCTTTGCTTGCTTTTATCCAGCCCTTGGGGCATGGTGTCATCCACTGATACCAACAATGGGGCATAATGATACCAACACATGGGGCATAATTCCCCCAATGACCCCCCCCCCACCAGTGAAGGGAACACATTTCCTCCCAATGACAGGGCACAATTCCTCCCAATGACACCAACGATGGGGCGCAATTCTTCCCACTGACTCCAACGATGGGGCCCAATGACATCAATGATGAGGCACAATTCCATGCAATGACACCAACGATGGGGCCCAATGACATCAATGATGAGGCACAATTCCATGCAATGACACCAACGATGGGGCCCAATGACATCAATGATGAGGCACAAGTCCATGCAATGACACCAACGATGGGGCCCAATGACATCAATGATGAGGCACAAGTCCATGCAATGACACCAACGATGGGGCCCAATGACACCAACGATGGAGCCCAATGACACCAACGATGGGGCCCAATGACATCAATGATGAGGCACAATTCCATGCAATGACACCAGCAATGGGGCCCAATGACATCAATGTTGGGGCACAATTCCTCCCAGTGATACCAATGATGGGGCAAAATTCCTCCCAATGACATCAACAATTCCTCACAATGTCACCAATATTTGGGACCCAATTACATCAATGATGGGGCACAAATACTCTCAATGATGCCAACAACGGGGCACAATTCCTCCCACGTATACTAATAATGGGATGCAATTACTCTCACTGAAACAAACAATGGGGCATTATTTATTCCCACTGATGTCGGGACCTTTTCTGCTCCCAATGGCCACAATCCGACCCCCCTAAAGTCTGATGAACAGTAAACTGGCCCTTTAGGAAGTTTGGGGCCCCCTGCTCTATATTATAGAATAAGTTCCATGTACAGTAGGGAGATACACTGGCTGGCATGTTGAATCTTACAGCTAGAGGCTCAAACAATGTCTGATGGATCCAAATACCCAAAACGAAAAGGTTTACAAGAGCTGCGCACTTATTGATGATTACCTGTTTTTGGTTTATTTAAAGTAATCAAAATGCTGTAACAGCAGCCAGTTAACGTTCTACAAAAAAGGTATTTTATATAGCAAGTTAACTACTTCCCATCTGGCCACTGTATTGAAATGGCTGGAGGAGACAATCGTTGGTGTGGGAGGGCGTATATATGTGGCCTCCCTCATCAGCTGCTTGTTCGTGGCTTCCAGACATAGCAGATCACAGAACAGGGTACCCTGTACCATGTGATTGTAGTGACCAGAAATAGCGATCACACAATTTTTTTATATACTATCAACAGAGCAAATTCAGTGTGATTATGGTGACATTGTAATGCTGTGGTGGTGA